GTCCCAGGGCTCGGGAAAAAGTGACAGGACACGCCGCCTCCTCAGCACACGTGCCTGCACAGACACACACACATACACATGCACATACAGTGAACGTATGAGCACACATACAGGCTACACTCACACACATGCACAGACGTACAAACGTGCACGCGTGCATGCCATGCTCACACACACACGTGCACCCACTCAGCCCTGAGCAGGGCTCCACAGGCTCTTGGGAGGACCCTCCTACTACCTCCTGAGCTGAGCCGGTCCCCTGCAGCGCCGCACTTCCTCTGCCCAGTGTCCTTCGGCACTCCCATTTGCACTGTGTGTCTCTGCTCCCAAAGGAGAGGAAGCAGGTACCTTGGACAGCAGGTGGGGAGGACAGTCATGTTCGGTGGTTTTGCCTCGAGTTCAGGAGCCTAGCAGGCTCCTGGCACATGGTAGGTGGGCAATAGAAACTTGAACGTCTGGAGAAACATTCTGAAATGCGGACTTCTTAGGGTTGTTGATACTGTACAACCATGAGGGTGAATTTATACTGAAGAGCTCAGATTCTGCAGCAGGCTTGTCACTCATCACCTAACTTTTACTGGGACTCAACCATGTACCTGGCATTGGGGAGAAAAGGATGAATAAGACATGATACCAGCCACAGACCAGAGGGGACGCTCATTGTGACAAGGCAGCACAGAAAGCATTAGAAACCAGATATGCAGCCTGGCTGGGAGACAGAGAGGAGGGAAAAATATATTCTGGCTGGGGTTAGGGAGCTGGGGCTTCTTACAAAGGGTGACATTTCATCAGGGTCAAGAAAAATGGACAGGCTTTTCCTGGGTCAAGAAGAAAGAAAGTGTCCCCGGCTGAGGAAACTGCCCAGAAGGGTAAAAACACACAGCATTTTCCGGAAGGTGAAAAGTGTAGCTTCTCCTGGACCCTAGGTGAGCAAGGGTCAAACTCCTCAGGGCCCAATTAAAAAATAAGTTGCTCAGGGCCTGACAGACCAGGCTGAAGAGTTTGGACTTTATCTTGTAGGGAACTGGGAGCCATTGATGGGGGTTAAGTGGCATCAGGGTCACTGGGCTGAGCACATTATTGAGAGCAGCATGGCCAGAATTGTGGGGTAAGACTGGGATCCTGGCATGTGCCTGGGACCATGCCCATGCAACTGAGTCAGGACCACCCCCTTCCTACACCCTCCTCCCCAAATCAGATCACTCTGGTGGGTTGGCCTGCTGTCCTTCAGGGAGCTGTCTCCCGACTGACAGGGCAAGTGAGGCTGGACAGGCCTGTCCACAGGCAGCATCCTCCATACAGGCAGTGGAGGTCCCAGCGAGCGCACAGGGCGGACTGAGCTAAGCTGGAAACCCTGCTGCCCTTGGGCCCCAGACCACTGGTTGCTGAACTTGGCCCCCTTGCCCCTGCCACACAGAAACCCCAAGTCCCTGTGGAGCACTGGAAGCAGTCCGTATGGCTGGTGAGTGCCAACTGGGAGTTTGTGAACTGATTGTTAAACACTGCCATTATTAAAAATTAAGGTATATAAACTAACAAATTATTACAATATAGAGGTAATAAATACTCAAAACCTCACCACTTCCTAATTATTTCCTACATCATTACGCCCTTTAGGGTATCTGTTTCTATGGCTTATGTGTGGTGCAAATTAATAGAATGCTACTGCATATCTCTCCCCAATTCCACATTCCATGACACTATATTGGTAGCTTGGAATGGCCATAGTGGGAGTATTTACACCATAGAAATTGGTAAATACTACAAAGGAGAGCTGCTTTTACAGAAATCTGGTTGCTAAACATTTGCTTGCCCTCCCCTGCTGATACCCACCCCTGCCTGGCCAGCTCCCCCTGGAAGCACATCCACACTCCCAGCAGCACAGCTGGTCTGGTCAGATCAGCGTTATCAGGGTTTCAGAAAGATCGGGGGGCCTTACCAGAAGCCCTGAGCATCTGTCCCTGAGGATTTACTTAGTCCTGCTATGAGGATGTGTCTCTGTGCTGCCTACAACCTGGTCAGGCTCCCAGGGAATCTGGCAGGGTGGCTGGAGATGGGAAGGTGTTGGCCTGATCCCTGGGGTGGGGAATTGAAGAGAGGCTTTGCCTACGTATCAAACCAACAGATTCGAGCAGCTTCATGTTCTGCGTTCCAGGCAACTATGCTACGCATCTCTCCATCAGCTTTCTGCAGAAAAAGCTCTGATTGGTGGTGCTTACCAATTTCCATGGTGTAAATACTCCCAATTCCAAGCTTCCAATGCAGAGTCACTAAACATGGAGTCGGGGAGAGGCTGCAGTAGCATTATATCGATTTGCACCATACATATACGACAGATATAGATAACCTCAAGAGCATGGATAACAATGTAGGAAATAATTAGTAAGTGGTGGGTTTTGAGTACTTACCTCCTCTGTTTTAAATAATTTATTTGTTGCTTTATACAACCTAATTTTTTACAGACAACTGTGCTGGGCATCTCTCCAAGATACCAGTTCCCGAATGCCACTGCACAGCCAGGTACCCTCTAGGGAAAACTCATTCGTGAGAACAAGAGCTTGCCAAGCAGACAGGGAGCAACATGCTGAATGATTTGACATCACAAAGCAGCCCTAACTAGGACTGCTGAGACAGACTTTGCCACAAATTGAAATTTTCAGCAATATCTTTGTAACCTTGGAGTTGATAAAGGAGAAATTTCTTAAGCAAGATATTTTTTAAAACTCAAAGAGAACATTAAAAGATTTGTAAATTGGGCTTTGTTAATATTAAGAACATCTGTTCATCACAAGACACCACTGATAGAATATAAAGGTAACTCCCAGGCTGAGAGAAAAAATTTGTGATACATAAAACTGACAAGAGCTCATAGCCAGAATAGATTAAAACTGTACATGAGTAGAAAAAGTCAGATGAGCCAAATGAAAACTGGCTGAAGACTTGAACAGGCACTTCATGAAAGAGGATGTCCAAATGGCCCAGCTGGCCTGAGGAAAGGAATGCAGCACTATCAGCTTTAGGGAAATCAGAGCTAAAAGCCACAGTGAGTTGGTACAACACATCCACAAGACTGAGTAAGACAGGATGACAAGTGTTGGTGAGGATATAGAGCAACCGAAACTCACGGGACTGTACACTACTACCTCTCTGGAAAACAGTTCGGCAGCACCACTAAGGCTGAACCTTCACCCAGCAGTTTCCAGCAGTGAGCACATTTATCCACCCAAGGACGTGTACTAGTATGCTCCTTACTGCTTTAATCAAAGTAGCACCAAACGAGACAACGCAAATGGCCATGAGTAGTAAGCTAGAGTAGATTCACACCATGGAATACCATGCAGCTGTGAGGACACCAGTGACCCCCACACATGAAACGAGGTGCCACACAGCACATACCGCAGGAGCAGAGACCAGAGCGGCTAAAACTAACCTGCAGCACAGAAACCAGGATAGTGGTTCCTCTGGGGAGCAGGCAAGAGGTAGGGAAAACACTTTCTAGAATTCAAAGTTTAAAAACCAAAATAGTTTCCCCTGTTGCACTTTGGACTTTTTCTGGTCTGAGGAATCTCCACCTTCCTCACCGCACCCCCTTTCTCCTTTGCCCCCAGCCAGGCAGGAAGTCTTGGGAAAGCCCAGCTAGGAGCCATCCCAGAGTAGCAATTTTATTTTGTTTTCAAGTCAGATTTCCACTAGCAACTGTTTTTCATATCTTTTTAATTTAATTTATTTATCAAGCATTTTCTTAGCTCTTACTATGTACCAACTACTGGTCAAAGTATGTCTTTATTATTAAGGTATTTATTATATTACCTATTCATTCATTCAGCCCATTGGGGACTTAGGGCCTTTTTATTGAGCATTTACTATATGCCATCTAAGTTGTCTATTAATTCTCACATAAGCCCTTATAAGGGGAAATATACATGTTCCCATTACAAATGAGGGGACAAAGGCTTAGAGAGGTTAAGGGACTTGTCCAAAGTCACACAGCTAAATTAGTGTCAGAGCTGAGATTCAAAGCCAAGTCCTGCATTACTCCAAAACACCAGGCTTAGGCATGTCTAGTGACCACCTTGAACCAAATCACCTTTCCAGACTGGTATTAAAATTATGTTTCTGAGGCCCAGTCCAAGCCTAATGAATCAGAATCTCTGGCCCCTTGACTGGCCTGAACAGTAGTCTCCCATGGCAGTTGTTCAGAACCTGATTCCTGGCCCCACAGGGTTCCACAAAGTCAGACTCCCAACCCCACACAAAGTAGGCAAGTAGGGCCTCTGTGGATGGGAGGACACATTACTGCCGGGATAGCTATGCCTCCACACGGTGGGTGCGAGTGTGGGAGGAGAGAGCATCTCTCCCTTCCTTCCCTCTGGTCTCTGGGCAGATGTCAAGCCCCGTTCTCTGGGCAGCACTCCCTGAGCACCCCAGGACTGCTGAACCCTTTGCTCTGCCTTAGTTGCCTTCCTTGCATGTCTGTCTTATATATGGTCTAGAATGAACCATGTGAAATTGGTCTTTCTGTTGGTCAGAATAGTTAAAAATAGGACATTTTATCCAGACCAGTTTGAGCATCCCCCTCTAGCAGAGGGCCAGCTCCAGAAGGGTTGGGGCTGTTCGAGTTGTTCACAGACCCGTCTCCAAAGCCTGGCACACAGTAGGCACTCAGTAACTAAGGGATAAGTGGTGGGGGAACCTGACCACTGCAGGAAGGCGGCGGCCGACACAGAGGCTCGGACGTCCAGCCGTAGGAACCCGCGTACCGCGCAATCTCGGGTGCCTTCCCGGCCGCGGCGGCCAGGCGGGGTGGGGCTCGCCGTCACCCATTTACCAGCCTCGCCCCTCCGACAGGCGCGCTGTTAATGAGATTAGCAATTAAAAAGAGGGCGAGCGGCGGAGGCAGAGGCGCGCGGCCACCTCAGGCCGAGTCGAGGCGGAACAGTGTGCAGGGAGGCCGCGACGCCAGCAGCCGCGCGGCGCCCGAGCGGGGACCCGGCGCGGAGCTTCGGGGCCATGGAGAAGGCGCGGCCGCTGTGGACCAACCCGCTGCAGTTCGTGTTCGCCTGCATCTCGTTCGCGGTGGGCCTGGGCAACGTGTGGCGCTTCCCCTACCTGTGCCAGATGCACGGCGGAGGTGAGTGCGGCCGCGGCGTCCGGGGCCAGCGGCGATACGCCCGACGCGCCGCGGGTGCGCGCTCCAGTGGCCCCGTATTCCAGACCAGTAAACTGAGACTCCGAGAGGGCCCGTGATGTGCACAAAGCTACGGAGCCGGGAATGGGACCCCGGACATCTCGCTCCAAGCCGGAGCTCTTACCCAGAGCCGCGCCCCGGCGCTCTCCGCGACCCTCAGCCCCGTCCCAGGGGCCAGGCGCCCCCGCCCCTGCCCCCACCGCTGCCTAGTCCTCCAGGCAGCCTCAGCGAGAGCGTGGGAGGCGCGGGCGACCCGTGGTCCGCCCTGTGGGAGGACTGGGGGCAACAATCTGGCTGCGAGCCTTAAACCTTAAGTATCAGCCTAAAAAGGGAGCAGGAAATTGCCTGGCGAAACAGAAACTCCTTACACAATTTTCAGGTCAGAAATTTACATTCCCAGCAGCACGGTTTGAAACTCAGGTTAAAGGATCTTGAAGCATTTCTGTAAACTTTTCATAAAAAGTTAGTTTGCGTTTGGAACCACAGATGGCAGGAAAGGAAAATAATTCTATTTATTTTTTTGCTTTTGTTTCTTTTTTTTTTTTTTTACAAAGTTTTCCTCTGAAACATCGCAGTGCATTCTCTAGGTAGGCGGACCAGCACACGGCCCAGACCCTTCGTGCTGCAGAGAGCAGGGACACCTTCCATGACCATGGCATGCCAAAGGGCCTCTTGTGAAGTCCCGCTGCATTGTGGCAAAAGGGATTGATGTCTTGGTATTTTAAAAACCTTTTTTCTCAATTGTTCCATTTCTAGAACTCTACCTAAAGGATATAATCAGGGTTGTTGACAGAAGGTAGAAAATGGAATGATGGTCTTTTAATAAGAGCAAAACACTGGAAACTTCCTGAGCCCTCAATTAATGGGGATTGGTTCAATAAATTATGGAACATCCATGCAGTGATGCTCTTTGCAGCATTAAGATGGAGTTTTCAAAAAATTTTATGTGAGTATTTTCTCATATCATATATTAAGTGGAAGGAGGGAAAGTCAGATTCAAAGGTTTATAAATGGATGATCTCAATTATGTTTAAACATATAGGGAGAAAAGATAACAAAAATCCACCAGAGTGTATGTTAACAGTTGTTATATCTGGGTGATCTTTCCTTACCTAGTACAATGTGTGTGTGCACTTGTGTGTAATGTCTTCTGTAATCAGCAGGAAAAGGGGGTTTTAATGACAATGAAAGGACAGTGAAAGATGTTAGACCAAGGTATGTGCAAAATATAATCCGTTTAGGACCAACAAGGCTCCTGCCCACGCTCCCACTAGCTTAAAAAACAACCCAAAATCTTGACAAAAGGTTACTCCACAGAGGTTTATTTCTAAGTAGTGAGTTCTTAATTCTCTGATTCTGCAGGACATATATACATGATAATTATGTGAGGGGCTTGTGTTGCCATATGTATAGCAGCTTCATAACTGCCTTTTGAAAGAATTGTTTGTCCAGATGAGATTTCCACGTCATTCTATGCCCAGCACACCTACCCATGGTGGTCCCTTTATCCTGGCTGCATGCTGCCCAGCCTTCATGCCGGGTGGGCCTTGCTGTCACATAGTTATGTAATTCCTTGTTAATAACTACACCATCACCTGAATAGTCTACAGGCGCACCCAGGTAGGTCGGAGTAGTTCTGAACTAGAATGTATTACAAGGAGTTGCAAGAACTGCAAGACCCTTAGGACCCAAGAGAAAGGAAAAAAAAGAAGAAATCTTCAGCCTGGTACAGATTGTACTTAGGCTGGATGGGTGCTTCCCTCTCAGGCGTGTCTACAGAACAAATAAAGACCAAGCAGTTTATCCTGGCACAGTAGGTAAGGCCTTGAGCCCCCAACACCTGCCCCTATTTCCACCTCATTTCCTGCCCCTCATCTTGGGGCAGCCCCAAGTGTTTTGAGCAGCACTGCCTGCCTCCAGACTTTGCAGGTATGTCCTCCCACCAGGCACCAAGCACTGCCTTCTCTCAGTCTGCCTCCTGGCCCTTCGCTGCTCAGCCTGTCAGGCCAAGTGAGGACCTGCTCAGCTGGCTGCACGGCGCCCTAGGGTCTCTCCGTCCCCCAACAGCCCCATCTCTGTGAAGTGGTGGGGCCAGAGGAGGTGCTCCATGAGCATTTGTTGGTCTGTTAGAAAGTCTGCAGGTGCTGTGAAGTGGGGATGTTGGTGGATTCCCAGTGCTTTTCACTGCCCAGTGGTGCCACCTAGTAGTAAGTGATTTATGTGGCCCAAACCCCATGCAGTTTCCAGACCCATCTTAACCTAAAGCTAAAGAGTAAACCAGTCACATCATGAAAGGCGCTCAACAGAGCTGTGACCCACCACCCCCACCCAACAAAGAACTTGTTTATATGCTGCAGAGCCAAGCTGTGCCAAAATACTTCCCAGCATAAGGCGGATTATGGTCTGCACTCCTTTCCAGGCAGCTCTGCCCGTGACTGGAGAGGCTTGTTTCCATCCTGCTTGCCAGCCAAGGCCCAGCACAAGGAATGTTAATTCTGAAGAATACATTCCAGGTTCCAACCACCTTGTACAGCACACCAGCGCAGGAATAAAATAAAAGGCAGTTGAGGGACTGTATATTTCTTGCAAAAGTCAGCAGGTCTTGACGACCATGTCAGAGTCTCAGGCAGTGCTGTTCAGGAAGAAATTGGGATGCAAATGTGCTGCTGAATTATGTGCAGATAATAAACGCACCAGTGATTGATTTTTATACAAACATGTTCAAATCATGGAAGAAACGTGGAACAATAAGAACAGTTGTGCGGTTGGTGGAATATAGGCTTTTTTCTCTACATTTGAATCATAAAGAGGGAGAAATCAGAGGACACTGCACTGCAGTGGGACAGTGACACTCTCAGAACTTATGTCACACTTGCCTTCAAAACCCCTTCTGCTCTCGTCTGGTGCTTAGCAATTCAGCATCTCGAACTCCAGCTCGGTGAGGATCTTGATCAGCTGCAGGTCCCTGGAGCCCACTCCAGGCTTCTGACTCAGAGACCTGAAGGAGGGCAGGACCTGCCTTTCTCACCTGCTCCTCATGATGCGGTGGCTGCAGATCCACGGCTTGCGCTTCAGAGGTGAAGTCAGGGTGGTTCCTGTGCCCCCCTCACCATGCCACCGGCCGCTGGGAGCCAGGCAATGGGGTGCTGGTAAACGTTCCATTCTTCTTTTGGTGGGAAGAGCAGGACCTAACACGCAGCATCTGCTGACTGCTGTAGTGCAGATGCTCTCACCATGGCTGATCTCAGACTACCAGTTTGATGTCTGGACAGTGGGGCGGGGGAGAAGTGTGCACTGCTGGCTCTTGTGAGCTGCTCTGAGCCAGAGTGGCTCTGCCTTAGAGCCACAGCCTTGCAGGCTGGTCCCCAGCCCAGGACCGAGCAACCCCCAGTCCGTCCGTGAACACAGGGGCAGGCAGCACTACCACTGCTCACTTGTACAGTGTGTGAGCACACACACAGGAGCCTGAGATGCAAAGGTTGTGAAGTAACAAACACGTGAAACTCCAAAGTAAGCTCAAGATGCTAGGCCCCAGGCATCAGAAAATATGGTCAGGGAGTCCCTTGAGAGGCCACATCTGCTGCTCATCCTGGGATTTCTAGACTCAGTCCTGGTAACAACCATGCTATTGGGTTCCTAGTATGTATGAGGCACAGTGCAAAACATTCTCCACAACACTCTTGGAGTCAGTCTTGTCACCCCCACTTGGAGATGGGAAACAAGTTCAGAGAAAGAAAGGTGGCTTCTGGAGGAGTCCCTGGGACTCAGCCACTTACGTGTCCAAGCCAGGGCTCTCTCCCCAGCCCCTCCAGTGTCTGTGTTTAATCTGATAAAGGCAGGGCAGGAGAGGCTGCCTCAGAAGTCCAGACCTCCTCCCAGGACCCTGAATCAGAATGGCCATGGCTCCAGGCCCTTCCTCTTGCACTTCTGATGTGACACTCAACCAGGGCCTCGCCCTCACCCGGGAGGGGGCCTGCCCAAGAGCCTTGTGCTTGCAGCGTCTACCTGTAAGAAGCCCATGTTGCTTCTGGGCCAGCTCCTCTCCACCTCACCCTTCCCCAGATGTCTGGTGTCCCCCCTTTGCCAAGGGTACCCATGCCCCTCACCCTGCCCAGGAAACCACCTCCTCCCTACATTAAAGGTGGCTCTTCCTGGGTAACACAGGCTAGGGCCATGCCTCCCTATATGCAGCACAGCGGAGTCTGATGCGTCTCCCACCACCTGGTAATGGAGAGGAAGATCTCCCAGGCAGGATGCAGTGTCCACCTGCCAGTGGGGAAGCCTCCACCTCTTCTGCACATTAGAATCACTGGGATCTTGGAAAACCGTCCCCAGAAACCCTGACTGAGTGGGTCTTAGGTGTGGCCTGAACAGTAGGAGTTTGAAAGGTCCCCAGGGGATCTTACTGTGCACCAGAGAACCACTACCTTATATCCTTTTTCAAACAGAAAAGTGCATAAAAATTATGCAATAAACAATATAAACCTTCTAGGCACTTAATTTCAGTCTTTCAATTAATACTTCTTGAGTATCTGCTGCAAGCCAGGGACTATGCTGAGGGGGGAGTTGAGTGACTGCCCTCAAGAGGTGGGGCCAGGTAAAAGTGTTTCTTGGGCACAGAGGGCACAGAGGGAAAGAGAGCTGTTGAGAGACTACTGAAATATGAAGAGGGAAGGCTAGCTGCTTGAGAGGACCCAGGAAGGCTTCTGGCAGTGGCAACATTCAATCAAGGCCTTGACATGTAAGCTGGAGCTCATCAGGTGGATTTAGGATGAAAACATTACAGGGAGAAGCAACGGCTTGTGCAAAAAGGCACAGGAGGTTGTGCATTGAGGGGAATGGCTGGAAACCCTACCTGGCTGTGATAAGCAGGGTTAGGGGCCAGGGCACCAGCGGGGTAGAAGCCCGAGGTGAAGGACGGTCAGCAGGAATCCAAACTGAAG